AAAAAAAAAAAAAAGAAAGTGAAATATCTCCAACCTCACCTCTGCCTCCTTCCCTGGCATAACTAGCATTATCTGGTTTGAGGAGGATCTCTTTTCTTTATACATGTATAACTCCATCTATGCGTGTAGATGCATGTGTCAGTGTGTGAAAGTCATCTTATTGTCACGCATTTTTTCTTTACCGCACATGAAAAATACACACACTGTTTCTGTTCTGTTCTGCAACTTTGTTTTCTCCTAAAATTTAGTTTTTTATTTCTTTTCTAAAAATTTAGTTTTTGTACATTTTATTACGGAAAATTTTAATTTTAAACATATACGAAAGTGGAGATTTTAGTGAACCCCTTTGTAATTACCCATCTGCAAATATTATCAACTGATAGCCAAGCTTGTTTCATCTGTCTTTTATCCCCACGCGCTCCTGTCATCATCATCATCATGATCTAGCCAATCCCTTGTTAATATTTTGTTTAGGGTTTATACTACTATGTTTATGAGACATAGGGGCCTATAATTTTACTTTCTTGTATCGTTCCCATCACATTTTGACATCCTGTTTCATTGGCCTCATTTTGGAAAGTATTCTCTTTATATTCTCTGGGAAAATTTGGGTAATATTGTTATTATTTCCTTCTTAAATTTTTTTTCAGATGGAGTTTCGCTCTTGTCATCCAGGCTACAGTGCAAAGGAATAATCTCAGCTCACTGTAACCTCCACCTCCCAGCTTCAAGCGATTCTCCTGCCTCAGTCTCCCAAGTAGCTGGGATTACAGGTGCCCGCCACCATGCCCAGCTAACTTTTGTATTTTTAGTAGAGACGGGGTTTCACCATGTTGGGCAGGCTGGTCTCAAACTCCTGACCTCAGGTGATCCACCCACCTTGGCCTCCCCAAGTGCTGGGATTACAGGTGTAAGCCACTGGGCCTGGCCTATTTTTTTCTTAAATGTTTGGAAGAGTTCCCCAGTGAAGCCATCAGGATATGGAGTTTTCTTTGTGGGAAGGTTTTAAATGATATATTCAATTCATTTAAAAGATATACTACCATTCGGATTTTCGATTTCTTTTTATGTCCGGTTTGGTAAATTGTAATTTTCAAGTGTTTTGTCCAGTTCATCTAAGTCAGGGGTCAGCACACTTTTTCTGCAGAGGGACAGACAGAAGTATCTGAGGCTTTATGGGCCATACGGTCCCTGTTGCAACTATTCAAATCTGCTGTTTTAAGTAGAAAGCAGCTATCGACACTATGTAAACCAATGAGCTTGGCTGTGATCCAATAACACTTTATTATGGACCTGAAGGTTGGATTTCATATAATTTTCATGTGTCACAAATATTATTCTTCTTTTGACTTCTTTTCAATCATTAAAAATGTAAAAACTGGGCCAGGTGCAGCTACTCACACCTGTAATTCTAGCACTTTGGGAGGCCAAGTTCTAGAGATGGGAGTTCTAGACCGGCTTGAGCAACATGGCGAAACCCCATTTCTACAAAAAAATACAATAATTAACCGGGCATGGTGACATGCACCTGTGGTCCCCGCTACTCATGAGGCGGATGTGGGCGAATCACTTGAGCCCTGGAGGAGGAGGTTGTAGTGAGTCAAGATTGTTTCAGTGCCCTCCAGCTTGGGTGATAGAGCAAGACGGTCTCAAAAGAAAACATGTAAAACCAGTTTAGCTTGCAGGCCATTGAAAAACACATGATGGGCTAAATTTGGCCTGCAGGCCATAGTTTGCTGTCCTCTAATCTACATTGTCAAATTAGTGTCCATTAAATATCCATTTAATGTTTGCAGGATACCAGAACCTTGTTTTTGGGCTATAAAATAGTTATTTCTGAAATATACAATAGTGGTTGGGCATGGTGGCTCACGCCTGTAATTCCAGCACTTTGGGAGGCCAAGGTGGGTGGATCACCTGAGGTCAGGAGTTTGAGACCAGCCTGGCCAACATGGTGAAACCCCTTCTCTCTAAAAAAAAGGCATAAAATATACAATAGTAATAGTAATAATGAGAATCATAGCTACTATTTGCCCAGTGCTTACCGTATGCCAGGCAGTGCTATTAATAAAATATAATGGAATTAACTCGTTTAATTTACCCAGGAACCCTCTGTACTAGGTATCATTGTTATTCCCATTTTTCAGATGAAGAAAGTGAGGCACAGAGTTCACACAGCTAGTACATGGCCTAGTCAGGACTCTAAAGCAGTGAAGTCACAAATAAAATGATCTTATAAAGACATCTTTTTATATTTGTGAATTATTTGTGTAGGCCACATTCTTAGGCATGAGTGTGCTAGGTCAGAGGCACACATGTTCATAAATTTAAAGAGTATTTTTCAAATTGTATATATATATTTTTTGAGACAGAGTCTCACTCTATTGCCTAGGTTGGAGTGCAGTGGTGTGATCTCAGCTCACTGCTTCCTCGGTGTCACAGGTTCAAGCAATTCTCCTGCCTCACCCTCTTGAGTAGCTGGGATTACAGGTGCCCACCAGCACACCTGACTAATTTTTGTATTTTTAGTAGAAACGGGGTTTCACCATGTTGATCAGGCAGGTCTTGAACTCCTGACCTCAGGTGATCCGCCTGCCTTGGCCTCCCAAAGTGCTGGGATTACAGGCCTGAGCCACCATGCCTGGCCCAAATTGTATTTCAATACTGTGTAATCAGCTTACACATGTGACCACAAATTGTTTACAAGAAAGCCCACCTATTTCCAGTGTTCCCCCTCCCTCCTGCCACCATTAGCCATCGTCTGTATTTTTCTTTCCTGTTATTTTTATGAGTATTACATCTCATTTTCATTTGCTTTTCTTTAGCGATTAAATAAGATTCAGCATCTTTTCACATATTTATTTTCCATTTTGTATTTCTCTGTGAATCCCTCTTTCCTTGTCTTTGCTTATTGTTTTCCAGGAGCTTTTTGTATATGAATGATCTTGAAGTGCACATTGCAAACCTTTTTTTT